TAAAGAAATAACTGAAGACCTGACGAGTCAGACAGCGACCCAACCGGCCCGGGTCCAACCCGGCCGCCTCAACGACCCGATGCTATGCCACCACCGGCGCCGGACCGGAAGAGGCCACCACCCATGGAGCAACCCGAGGCCGGAGACGGCGCTCCGCAGCAGCGCCACAAGAAATCCTCCGCCGCCAAGAAGGCGAAGAAGGGCGGCGCCACCGGCAGCGGCAGCGGCGCGGCATGGCCGGCGATAAAGCCCAAGAAGGACCTCCTGGTCAATCGCCTCAAGGGCACCCAGCTCCTCACCGTAAGCCAATCAATCAATCCCCCCTTTTAAATCTGACGCGATTACCATAGGGACCTCGACACACGCCCGCATCTAGGCATCAGGTAGCTCGATCTGATTCCGCTAGGAGGGGAAGGGGATTACCATCTAGGGCTGACGTCTGACGATGTTGCTGAGCATCTAGGGGAGACTCAGCCTGCACCAATTTTTTTGTCACGGCACTTGTGGAAAAGTATTACCTAGCGAGTATGAAGGGGAGGATGTTTTTGTGATGAGATACTGTTTGATCAAACTGAACGAATGATAGAAAAATGCCTGAATTGATATGATAGTTTGTTGGATTTATCTCTACCTGATTGTGTTGCTCATGGACAACTGCCACACTTGACACAGGTCCCTGACTTCCTCACCTCGGCGGAGGCGAAGGCTTTCGTCGATGTTGCTGAATCCATGGGCTTCACGCACCAGGGCAGCCTTGGGCCACTCAAGGGGGAAGCTTACAGAGACAACGACCGGATATCTGTCACGGACCCCTTGCTCGCTCAAACGCTCTGGGATTCAGGGATAAACAGGGTATTCGTCGACATCAACATCTCCGGCAAAGCAGCGACCGGCTTGAACCCAAATATCAGGCTTTACAGGTATATATACCGATTTATAACTTCAGATCTGTGGGTGTTAGTATCGTGCTGTTGGGCAGGTTCGGTCACTGATGTTGTTGCTTGTAGGTACGTTGAAGGCCAGCGCTTCGGCAGGCATATCGATGAGAGCGTCAGCCTTGGGGACGGTTCGAGGACACAGTATACATTGCTGGTGTACCTTTCTGGAAAGGGGAGCGCAAAGGATTCGCAGGCCCTTGTTGGAGGGGGGACTGTCTTTTATGATCACCGAGGCGGAATTGTTGCCGAGGTACTTCCTGATTCCAAAACCCATCTGTTTGATATAATTTTTTTTGCCTCGTTGCTTTGTCAGCCAGTTCATCTGCTGTGGAAAACCAGTGCTAGTAGTAAAGGTCGGATATCGATATGCATTATGTCATTGGTTTTGTTTGTCACACATATTAGACTTGCTCATCTGGTGGCTAAGATTGATATTGATGTGTGCCCATATGAGCATCTATCCGATCTAGCTATAGAGGAGGGGGAACTGGAGAATTATGTCTGCGGAGAAATCAGAAAAAGGAGTATGAGATGCACATGTTCGCTGTATTACGAGTCTGCTCTTGGATTGTTAACGACTGTTAGATTATGAAAATCAAGAGGGTATCATACATGGTTAGCCTCTGTAAAGAAATATAAGAGTGTTTAGATCACTAAAGTAGTGATCTGAGCGCACTTATATTTCTTTACGGAGGGAGTATCATGGTTAGCCTTTTTGTTCTTACATACAGTTAGTAACACTGTCACTGCCAAGCTCGCTGGCCTTAATGTGAAGCTATCTACATGTATGTAGGTTGCTCCCGTGCAAGGAATGGCTCTACTCCATCTACATGGCGCCAGGTGCATGCTGCACGAAGCTCGCGTCGTGAAAAAGAACGTCAAGTACGTGCTCCGTTCCGACGTCGTGTTTGCTTAGCTGAAATGCTTCCAGGCCAGTTTCAGACCAAGGACCTACAGGTTTAGCTTTTTGTGATATGTGCTGTGTGAAAAACAGAGGCCCCAGAGGTAAAATTGAGAGGTAGTTGTTGCAACATTGGAAATGCCGGCCTGCCTGATCAAAAATTGTGTTCTATCATGCACCGTTGTATAAGAGTTCTTTTAACTGCTGCAATGCTGGAAATGCTCAAAATCATTCTACCGTTTGTCATCATGGAGATGTTTTACTCTACTTTGTCCTCCACATCATATGACTGTAACCTGCAAAAGTTGAATCCTGAATCTAGTTTGGAGCTTCTACCGCCTCCGTCCTTTCCTGGGTCAGGACTGGGCGTCCAGAAGCAGGTCGAGCTTTTTACTGAGCAAAATTAAAATCTAGTAAAAGAGAAGTTACAAATGTCCAACACCAAAGTAGCCAAAACAAAACAAGCAGTGACTGTCAATGCATACACAATGAAAGACATTTCATGTTGTTTTACTGCACACCGACTTCAGCAACAAAACATGAAACGGCAATCAAACCATATGCCTATTCCCACATCACTGTTGTGCGACAGTACATAACGGTTCGGATCCAAAAACATTTCAAATGTCTACACTGCATAAAATGTTTGAATCTGTAATCATAGCCCAGCGCAAGGGTTTAAAATGGCAGACATTGCATCTGGTAGTCATAGCCAGAACTAGAAGTACTTAATGAGAATATAACCCCTATTTCCCCCGGGGCGGCAGCATCCAACATTTACATTTCTCCCACTGATGCCTAGAGGAACCATGACCAGCGTAAGTTTCTCCTGGTTTTCGTCTCAGACAGGGCGGGACCAAAGTGAAAAATCTGCAAAATCAGACAGTCTCTCAGATAACACAAATGTGGCCAGTTCACATTTCAAAGCATGAGCATTCAAGATTGCCACAAAGATTTATAGCATTACTAAAGAGCAGTACCTTCATCATGTGCTGAAGTTAAACATGCATCCAGATAGTAAGTCCAGGCATTGCCAATACAAGATAGGAGCTGCAGAATTAGGACAAGCACAAATTTAGACAGCAGATGTACGAATAAGATTTCAAAAGAGCCAGAAATGCTATACGCTAAGCAATTTGGAAACTATGTGAACCAACTATGAATAAATAACAAGTGTAGGAGGAGCACAGGATGTGCGGCACAGGCAGATGCAGTTATATTTAGACATCAGATTCTAACTTACGTTTTTACATCAGGAGGAATTGACCAATTTTGGATGACCCGTTTTCTTGTCGATCTCCACTCTTAGGCCTAACTCTGCGACCTCTGGAGTTAGAATAGGTTCTTGCATCTGAAGCTCAGATACCTCCTTCTGATTTTCCTCGTTTTCTTCAAGCAAATATCTCACAGCTAGCAGACCCCACTCCCTCAAGTATGCATTTCCTTCATCAATGACACACTGCTGCAACAGCAACATAATCACGTTCAGCTGCCTAACCTCATCCTGCACCTGTTTCCTTCCATGCAAGCAATTGGCAATGACAGCCACCAAATCTCTCCTGTAACCATTGTATGGGCAGACCTTTGCAGTTGCAAGGGCTGGCTGTTGATCTCCTTGTTCCTTTGCCATCACCTTCCTGATTGTACTTGGAGGCTCAAGCTCACCTAGGTATTTTAAGAGGCGTTTTACCAGACCGGCCTGCAACAGTGAGTCAACAGGTGCTTCAGTCCCCGATGAGGAGGGCTCAGCCTGCAACAGTGAGTCAACAGGTGCTTCAGTCTCTGATGAAGAGGGTTCCCAAGCACATATGTCCTTCAGGAGCACTAATGAATATCCAAGGACATCAATTCCAGGGCAACCAGTTGGAAGAGCAGAGCTACCTCGGCAAGTAAAATCCAGAGTCTCAGCAGCATGCTTCAGTATATTGAATACATGAAGAGCAAAACTGTTTGAGATACTAACTTCTTCAGGTCGTTCAGTCAAACACTTTGACAATGTACCCATAAGAAATGCATGCTTAGCACTGAACCCATCCCCAGATTCACCACCATCAGTTGAATCTAGGGCTGCAAACAAGGCTTCGAACTTTTCCTCCTCAACACAGATTTTGAAGAGAAGCCACTCCAACCATTCTTCCTTGTGCCCCACTGCATTTCATAATTTATATTAGCATCATGTGCAAAGTAACCAAGGAGTAAATGGGAGAATCAAATGAATTAACCAGAGAACAATATGTGACCGACTACATCCTAAGAAGTAAAAAAAAGCTAACCATAACAGTCGAGAAGTCACAGAGCAGCAAGAATTGCCTTCAATAAGTCAGATTTGGTTCTCTGATAGTATCTCACATGTAAGCTCAGACTCTACACTTAACACATAGTAACAGTTCCAACTATCAAGCAAGTGACTAATACTTCAGCAACACATCAAACGTATGACACCACGTTTTTTTTCTTGCTAAGAAGTTGCAACAGGTCGAGCAGGCATGCTAGCATGCTTCAGAAAGATGAACCAAACGAACAGGTGACATAACCAAAGTTACCGAAAACCGTATTTCACTAAATAGCAAATGACCATAATCTAACTGTGAACTCATTACAACCAATGAGCAAGGCCGAGTCCATAGTTGGTTAAAATTTCTTGGCAATGTCACAGAAGCATTAAATATCTGACATCCAATTGGTCCAAATTCCTGTCTACAGTTGCTGATGAGCTGATCTATTGAACACTTTGCCAAATCTTTCAATTGCTGAAATAATAACCTACACAGTATGATCATCATAACAAGGATTCATAAGAACAAACAGCTTAAGCAACCCACACTTCTACTACATTTGTAAAGCAAATGCAGCTCTGAAACAGTTGCACATCTAGGCATCTAGCAGCAGACATGGGCGAACACGCAAAAGCATAAAAACCAGTACTAGCAGCGGTGGGTAGGCGTGGGCTCACATCGGGAGGCGGTGGCGACGAGTTCGACGAGCACGGGCAGGCCCAGGTCCTCATGGCAGAGCTCCTCGACCCTGCCGCGGCCGCCGTCGCCGGAGCAGCAGGTGTCGAGCACCATGCAGAGCGGGTCGAGGACGCCGGCGTCCCGGACCCTCGCGAGCTCCCGCAGCGCGCCCGGGAAGAGCGCGTCCCAGACGGCCTCGCGGTGCCGGTCCCCGCCGAGCGCGGCGTTGCCCAGGGCCTGCAGCGCGGCGCGCGCGAGGTCAGGGGGGAGGGCGGGGAGGGCGAGGGCCGCGGAGACGACGGCCGCGGGGCCTGAGAGGAGCACGAAGGTGCCCTGGTTGAGCGCGTCGCCGGCGAGGAGGTTGCGGAGGAGGCGGAGGCGCAGGAGCAGGAGCGGCGCCGGGGAGGCCGGCAGGAGGTGGAGCGTGTCGGCCAGCGCGTCGGAGAGCGCCGCCCGGCCCTCCCGCGTCTTGGAGGCCTCCAGGAGCGCGCTCAGGGTCTCCTCGTCCTCGACCCCCTCGTCTCGCCACATGGCGGTGGAGGAAGCGGCGGCGGCGGCGGCGGCGGCGGCGGCTGGAGGCTGGAGAGGGAGGAGGAGGCGCTGGAAGGTAGCAGAGGTTTGGTCAAGTCGGTTGGCTACAAAGCTACTTTAACCCCCACACGCACGGAAATGCACAGGGCAACTTTTTTTTACTTCGACTTTATTTTCGGAAATGATAAATCCCGAAAATTCGGACTTTAAGCAGCATGGCAACCCGAACGCTTTTCATCGCAATTTTATTTCACGCGAGATTGGGAAACATGGCAATTTTCTGTCGAAAAAAACGAACCGGGACAAAGTTGTCATGGGTTAGTAGCCATCTCAAGTCAACTAAAGTTGTCATGAAAAAACGTTCGGGATGACATGCTTAAAATCCAAGCATTTGGGATTTATCGGGGTCCTTTATTTCTTAGATAATAGGGGTTATAGAATCTGCATAATCCAAGCGTTCGGGGTTTATCGGGGTCCTTTATTTTTCAAATAATAGGGGTTAAAGAATCTGCATATGGCCACTTTTTTTCTTTTCTTTTTTTGCGAAATAATCTGCATGTGGCCACTGAAATTGAATCCATCGATGCGATAAAGGACAGAGCAGAAACTAACCAAAATAACTGGTGACAACCAAAGTTCAAATTCGCATTATCTTGCAGCTAAAACATTACGAAAACCGATTATGCCTTCATTTTCATCTCCTTTTTCTTTTAACACATTCATCATTTTCATCTAAACCTGGCACACAGAAGCCACCGATCATGCCTCTTGTCACAACTCACGCACGCACCTTAAGCCTGCCGGTAATTCGGAGGATTATTCAGAACTTACACAAGTTTACAACCCAGCAGAGCACGAATTTTCCACTACAGAGCCAAGAATTCTCACAGACAAAGGCATTACGACAATGGCAGCACTATCTAACTTTACAAACTTAGAACAAGTTTACAGAGATTAATCTGGGCAACCTCCACCCTTCCCTTTCAATTCCCTGCCAGGTAAATAATCTAAGAGCGCTTGCGGCGCTTATTGCAGCTTCTTCAGGCTGGGCAAGGGCCATCAGTCAATGGCCATTTGTTACCGGAGTTGCCGCGGCGTCGCCTTTCACGGCGTAGAACCGGCGGTACATGGAGTCGACATGGGTGAGGTAGTAGGTGCCTGGGACGAGCAAGCGCGTGTCCTGGCTGGTGACGAAGTCCTTGGCGCCATAGCGGTGCTCCATCAGCTTCAGCGCCTCGACGAATTTCTTCGGCGGAACCTGTGTGGAAGATGCACAGTGAGACGGAGCCAAGTTTGAGGTTTGAAATGGGTAAGATGCTCTGGTGCTAGATGGGGAAGTTCATGAAAGACAGACTTACCACATGCCTAGACTCCAATTTGTTGGAGATGTCCAGTATGCTTGCGATGTTCGATAGGCTGAACGGATGCTGGCCTTCGTTGATTTTGAAGGAGAACATTGTCGACGTCATGCCACTGCCGTAGGAGAACATGACGATCCTCTGGCCCACCTGGAACATTTCGAAAGAGTGAACAGAGGAAACTTGGTTCAGCATTGATCGCGAGCGAAGAAAACACGGCGGAGTGTGATTTATACCAGAGCATCGTGTTTGTTGTGGACAACTGATGCAAAAGCAGCATAGAGCGATGCCGTATACATGTTCCCGAGTTGCTTCGGGATCAATGTTGTTGGTTGAACCTTGGTGTCATACAGCGGCTTCGCAACTTGCTGACAAACCTGCATATTTGAGGTAGCACAGATCAATTTACAATCATCAGTTATTACATACAGGAATAATTTTTTATAATTTAACTGTTATTGGTACCTTCTCGAGGTCTCGACTCTGATAGCTTTCTTCGGATGACAGGCCCGAGTAGGGCTCCAATTTTTCCCTTGAGTCTTTGTCAACAATGCTATTTGACACAACAGAAATTTCAGTTAGTAAACAAGTACTAAATAACATACAAGGCACAGAGTTCCTAATACACTAGCTGTCTAGCTGACCAACCTGCAGTTTCTCAAGAAGTCATTGTAGTATAAACGAGCAAAACTTTTCTGTACAAGCTGCACACAGAACAATCATGGATAACTTGTAAATATTAAAAAGAACAGATGATTATACATAAAGTGTATCTGGAGAGCAAGGCATGTGATGTCCAACCAAGATTGCAGTGAGAAAATAATATGGGGTTCTATGATACCTTGTTGTATGGAGAATGAAATACAAAAGAATCTGCGTCGACGATTGAAAATGGCTTCCCTTCAATCTTTTCGTACCTGAAAGATCAAAGCAAGGGGATCTGGTTAAATCGGCTTGTCAACTTGATTGACCTGTTAAGTAAGAAGATGACAACTTACCTTTTGCAGAAGGTCTTGTAGCAGGAATCCAGTGCCATGAGATAGCATGTCTGTGACAGCTTCCCATCGACCACCTGCATGCAATTTTGCTATCTTGTCAAAAGGGATGTTCACATTGGCAGATCACGTAAATTCATTTCCAGTGTATCTCAAGCTTGCTCCACCTAAACAGAATTTGGATGCATAAATTGTATGGAATGGTGATGTACCGGATATTCGCTCGCAAGATCAGGCTTGTAAAAGTCATAAACATGTGCCATATGAGACCCTCTAAATTTGCTTTCCAATGAAATAGGAGCATTTGGTCCAATCAGCATTGCAATAGCAGCTGCACCGCCAGTAGGACGAGCCGGCCCTTCAGCATAAACCTGATAAGGTATCAACATGCATCTAATATATCAGCATGACTTATAATTTTTAGCATTTTCAATAATACAGTATTGTGTCCCGACCACAAAATTGATATTTCATATGTGGATCAATATGGGTGTCAAACATCAAAAGTAAGGAAACAGAATATAGAGCAGGCAATTATGCTTGCCTGAGGAATGGGGAAACTGAAGCTAGTTAGAGAAACTATAAAAGATGGTAAAAAAATACGAAAACATTGTGACAGGAATACATATGCATATGGTCTAAGTTCTATAAAATGCTCAAGGTTGTAAAATAGTCTGAGAAGCCGTGCAGTATGAAATTGGATACTGAAAACTGAAACAATATATTACATACCGCGCTGTCTGTGCAAACAACGAGCCCATAACGTCCATCCCATGAGTTGCTCTCAACCCAATTAACACAATTAAACAAAGCAGCTGTTCCACCATAACATGCATTTGAGGAATCAACTCCTTCAATATCAGTATTGCCACACTCCTGCAATTAAGGAACATTGTTACAAAAAGAGCATCACCAAAAGGAATTGTCTGGCAGTGAATTGAATTACTAGTACTACAAAAATCTCAAAAAAATGCTCAAGAGTGATGATGAGAATTCAAATACAATTCTTTTAATTTTTACATATATAAGGTACGCTAGACCAAATTACACCAAGAAACTAAAGGTGAACGAACTTATTAGCATGTTCTTGCTGAAAGGAACAAACCTCAAATATTTGCATCAACCATGTCTTTATAGACTTGCTCTTGTCTATTACAGTTTCACTGCCAACTTCCAAACGTCCAATGCACTTTGGATCGATGTTATAATTTTTCAGGAGAGTCTTCACCACTGTCAAGCTGAGACAAAATCTTAATCAGACGAGATAAACAGAACTAAAATGGTAAACAATACACTGTTCATATGTTTAAAACATAAAATGGTTCATGTCAGGACATTTGAAACGTTATATATTTGGACTTGAGAGACAAATATAAGGCATCTCGAATGGCACAACACTGTGCTGTTATATTCACATCCATCTATATTGTACCGTTTCACTAACATCATAGGTAGTCAATAGAGCACTGGTGTCAAATAGTATAACTTAAAACAAGCATGGCATAATGTTCTATTTAGATTCTAAAAATTGGCCCTCATCATCATAGGTTGCACAAATGACAAATCTGTTGGTGTTAACAACCTGTGTCCTCACATTTCAAAGGAATACGGAGGGGAATAAATGGTTTCAAGGAAAAGAAAGAAAAACGATAGGAGAATGAGAGTACTTTTGTACTTGAGGAAATAACCGTACCTCATTGAAATGACATCCTCCACTTCAGTGCAAAAGGCCATGCTATCCTGCCCAAGCCCAATGGTGTACTTCCCTTTGCTCACGCCATCATGAGTTTCCAGTTCTTCCTGCAACCAGCATCATGTAAATTTTCCAGCTAGTAAAGAAACTTCTTGGAAAATGGTAAAGAGCGTATGAAATAAAACATTGATCTGCAAGTGAGATCGACAAAAACAAAAATGAAAGAGATACTGCAAGAGATCTCGTAAGTTTCCCAAATGAAAACCATACAAGTCTGAAGACGCCATTGGGTAGTGATAGGCTGTTGTACAGTGGCCTGTAAATTCCTTATATGATTTATTAAAATTCATGGATTCTTTTATGGTCAACAGAATCTTATAAAATAAGAAATATCAGTACTTTAACAGAACAATTTTCAAAGAGGACGACAACAGTTAAAGCCTGACGATACCTATCTCTTATTTCCAAGACAGCACTGTATATTTCAGAACACCTTGCCTTATGTGGCACAAAAAAAGTTCAGACATATCGGTGACATCAACAGATCATCATTCTTACTTGTTAGGGTCAACCTTGTCCAACCTCCACCTAATATATACGATGATACTAATAATATATATCAAGCCTCCCTTTTCAGAACACATTTCCTACAGCCAAAAAGATCGGCAGATCCACATGGACAGCAACGCTTCCGAATTCGATGACTGCACGCGCACGAGAGACCAGCTCGGTTTACAAGCCCAGGAAAGGAAAGAGACAGTTGACAGCCATCAACATCAGCATCAGCATCAGCTGATTAATCGTCCACGCAGCCTCAAGTAAACAGAGGACCTTGGGCCCTACTACTCCCAGCAAGCTCTTTCAGCTGGCATGTTCTAGGTCTTGGCATATTAATTTTGCTTTCCACAAAGTGCGCCAACATTCCTCGTGTATGCAGTTACGTCTCTTCGGAATCTTTCATCACACTCTGGAAGCACCCTACATGGTTCCTTCCGCTAGTATTGATCAGCCCAGCTGGAATTGTACTACTAGTAATTACAGAGGGTGACAGATTAACTAGTAACTGCTTAGTTACCGCCCAGTATTACCTGATAATCACCCATGGCATTTACCCTTGCCACCCACACACAGCTACTAGAATTCTTTTGTAGTTTTAGCAGAAGAGTAGTAATTGGTAAAATTAATAATCGCCTAAGTTATTTATTAACTAATACTCCCTCCGTCCGAAAATACTTGTCATCAAAATGGATAAAAAAAATGTATCTAGAACTAAAATACATCTAGATACATTTCCTTTTATCCATTTTGATGACAAGTATTTCCGGACGGAGGGAGTACTAACTTGGTTCCTAAACATAAGATGGTCTAGCGTATTTCTGAATCGAATGAATGTATATAGACGCGTTTTAGTGTGTCCGTTCACTTGTTTTAGCATGTATCTGGTCCATATTGAAATATCCAAAACGTCTTATAGTAATTGGGAACAGAGGTGACGGTAGCATTCCCTGAATCTGGCCAGCCGTAGAATAGGCTGAACGGTGGCCTGCCCCCACTCCAGAGTAGACACAAGCTATCAACAGATAATGTTGAGATAACCTCGGCCTCTCGTCTCAATCTCAAAGGGCTCGCTCGGTCTGCATCGCAGCTGTGAACAGTCTGCTCTGCTCTGCACTGCACTGCACAAGGCAGGCGAGGCAGAGCCAGCCCGAGAAAAAGGAACTCGTGGTCGCGGTGAACAACTGAACTGACCCCGGGAAAATTTGAAGGTAAAAACCGCCAACCGCACACAAAGAGCGTGCGTGCCCCTTGACTGGTAGTAGTGTTTTTTTTTATCATGGCGTTTCAGGGAAACGGCCAGTGAAACGTTTATTTTATTATTTTTTACAGCAACAGGGACCCAAGTAAAAAAGATTACAGCAGCAGGAGAAAATGTGATGGGATTCAGAGAGGGAGAGGATGGTGTGGGTGGATGTGTGAGTGAGGTGTGGTGTGGTGTGATGTGATGTAACCTGGAGGACGCAGTTGGGCGGGAAGTAGATGTCCATGGCGAGGACGCCGGCGTCCTTGACCCTCTCCGCCGCCATCTCTCCTCTAGATACTCCTCCCTGGTTCCAAACTCGAGCTGCGACCAACACGTAAACAAGAACAGACGTGAGACGGGTTGCAATCTCTCCCTCCCGGATCGAGTCGAATCGCGGAGCGGGGAGGCGGCAGAAGGGCGGCCGGGAGTGCACCGTACCAGTGAGAGGTCGGAGACGGCCGGGACGGGGGAGGGGGAGGAGGAGGAGGAGCCTACGGACGGACGGGGAGCGGATAGCGGGGAGGGAGGGATGCGGGACACTCTCCCAGCCGGCTCCGCGCCGTATATATACGCTGCTCGCCGCTGCCCTTTTCGAGAAGGATTTTTTCCTTGGCTGCGGCTCGGAACCTGGCCGTGTCCTGGGAGAAAAGGGGAGGCGGTAGGTGGTCGTGGTAATTGCGGGGTGGGGGTGACGACCTCGGTAGTATCGACCGGCTGTCGCCTCGCCCTCGGGTATCCGGGCACGTGGGCGTCGCCCGCCCGACTCTCATCGGCTGGCTGCCGGCCTTGTCGCCGCCTGCCCTCGGGCGCCAGTGCGCCGAGGCCTCGTCCGGGTCCGGTCCTCGTGGAGTTTCCCGTGTCGACGACGGGCGCGACGCGGCCTGCCGGGCAGATCGGATCCGGGAAAAGGAGGGTGGGCGGCACCGGTGTTCGCCACCATTTTTTGCTTTGCTTTACGGCCCCCCCATCCATTAAAATACGAGAAATCTACACGGTTCAAATCTTTGGCAAGTGTATCAACGCACCCACAACCCCAAATCAATAAAAATATGAAATCAATATTTCGTATTTGATGGGAAACCTGATGATGCCACCAGTTTGGCTTTGCGGGCATTGAACTAGACCAGTGATGGCTCTCGAAAAAGAAAAGAAAAAACTAGACCGGTCATAAAAGATAATAAAGTTTTTCTTTTGCGGGTGAAAACTTGTATTACTCAAACACAAGATCCTTACAATCATCAGAAGCTAAAGACAACAAGAAACTAATGCGCCTTGTATTATTTGATGAAATGGGAGGACCCTGTTCGAGCATCCCAATAGCTTCTGAGTACTTACACTTTCGCCGATAGGTCTAACTAATAGATATCCGTGTCTCTTAGTTTTTGTTTTATGGCGACAATCCCAAGGCGGTGGCGTTGGAATGAGGTCTTTTCGGAATCTCACTATCTCAACAACGTCTAATCGGCCGCCGACGAGGGCATGTGAGGGCAGGTGTCGTCAAATCTGTTGGCTTTCTTTGGATCTTGATGCTGCTCTCGTGTGAATCAAGGGAGGCATCTGCTGCCTAGCTCTTGCTGCGCCAACTTCGGCCACCTGTTCCATTTTGTTCCGCAACATGGCTCGGGTTTTCCAACCCAAACCCTCTGGATTAGTAGTGGAGAATTGCAAGCCTGCAATACGTGGGGGTGATGCCCGACGATCACTCGATCTTTTTTTAGCGACAAGTGGCTATTGTGGTGTTAAAACCTAGTATGGTGAGGGACGTTTCTGTTGTCTCTTTCTCTTAACGTCGATTCAGTGCAGCTTTCAAGCTCTGGCGGGTGACGTACAACCAGAGGAATAAGACATTGTCTACATACGCTACTATTGGGGAACATCTATCCAAAACCCACTCAGACATGATGAAACAAGAAACGGCGCCAAAAAGGAGGCAACGGGGGGTTTCCACGGGACTATAATAATGGATAACAACTCTTGTCGGAAACTAGCACGCGGAAAGGGAATTTCGATGCAACATGCAGAGAAAAAAGAGGCTAACCCCAAAAAGGTAAGAACATGGGAAGGTGGAACACTACCAAATACGGAAAAAGAACATGGTCAGAAAAACAACTACGACAACCAGCGAGTGACCGCTAGTTAGCTCCCCCTTTAAAACTATGCTCTCATAACTCTACCACCCAACATCTTGAGAGTATTGCACAAGCCATCTTTCTTTAGGTGGTAATGGGCGGGCGGTAGGTGGTCGTGGTAATTGCGGGCGGGGCGGGGTGGGGTGGGGGTGACGACCTCGGGCATCCGGGCACGTGGGCGTCGCCCGCCCGATTCTCATCGTCTGGCTGGCGGCCTTGGCGCCGCCTGCCCGCGGGCGCCAGTGCGCTGAGTCCTTGTCCTGGTCCGGTCCTCGTGGAGTTTCCCGTGTCGACGAGCGCGACGCGGCCTGCCGGGCAGATCGGATCCGGGGAGAGGAGGGTGGGCGGCACCAGCGTTCGCCATCAATTTCTGCTTTACGACCCCCCATCCATTAGAATATGAAAAATCTACACGGTTCAAATCTTCGACAAGTGTATCAACGCACCTACAACCCCAAATCGATAAAAATATGACATAAATATTTCATATTTGATGGGAAACCTGATGATGCCACCAGTTCGGCTTTGCGGGCATTGGTATTTTCCACAAACTAACTAGACCAGTGAGTGGCTCTCAGAAAAGAAAAAGGAAAAGAAAAAACTAGACCGGTCATAAAAGATGATAAAGTTGTTTGACCTTTGATCATGAAACTAATGCGCCTTGTATTGTTTGATGAGACAAGAGGACCCTATTCGGGTCTGTTCGAGCAAGTGACTATTGGGGTGTTAAAACCTAGTATGGTGAGGGACGTTGCAGTTGTCTCTTTCCCTTAACGTCGATTCAGTGCAGCTTTCAAGCTCTGGCGGGTGACGTACAACCAGAGGAATAAGACATTGTCTACATACGCTACTACTGGGGAACATCTATCCAAAACCCACTCAGACATGATGAAACAAGAAACGGCGCCAAAAAGGAGGCAACGGGGGGTTTCCACAGGACTATAACAATGGATAACAACTCTTGTCGGAAACTAGCACGCGGAAAGGGAATTTTGATGCAACATGCAGAGAAAAAAGAGGCTAACCCCAAAAAGGTAAGAACATGGGAAGGTGGAACACTACCAAATACGAAAAAAGAACATGGTCAGAAAAACAACTACGACAACCAGCGGGTGACCGCTAGTTAGCTCCCCCGTTTAAAACTATGCTCTCATAACTCTACCACCCAACATCTTGAGAGTATTGCACGAGCCATCTTTCTTTAGGTGGTAACGGGCGGGCGGTAGGTGGTCGTGGTAATTGTGGGCGGGGCGGGGTGGAGTGGGGGTGACGACCTCGGGCATCCGGGCACGTGGGCGTCGCCCGCCCGATTCTCATCGTCTGGCTGGCGGCCTTGGCGCCGCCTGCCCGCAGGCGCCAGTGCGCTGAGTCCTTGTCCTGGTCCGGTCCTCGTGGAGTTTCCCGTGTCGACGAGCGCGACGCGGCCTGCCGGGCAGATCGGATCCGGGGAGAGGAGGGTGGGCGGCACCAGCGTTCGCCATCAATTTCTGCTTTACGACCCCCCATCCATTAGAATATGAAAAATCTACATGGTTCAAATCTTCGACAAGTGTATCAACGCACCTACAACCCCAAATCGATAAAAATATGACATAAATATTTCATATTTGATGGGAAACCTGATGATGCCACCAGTTTGGCTTTGCGGGCATTGGTATTTTCCACAACAAACTAACTAGACCAGTGAGTGGCTCTCAGAAAAGAAAAAGGAAAAGAAAAAACTAGACCGGTCATAAAAGATGATAAAGTTGTTTGACCTTTGATCATGAAACTAATGCGCCTTGTATTGTTTGATGAGACAAGAGGACCCTATTCGGGTCTGTTCGAGCAAGTGACTATTGGGGTGTTAAAACCTAGTATGGTGAGGGACGTTGCAGTTGTCTCTTTCCCTTAACGTCGATTCAGTGCAGCTTTCAAGCTCTGGCGGGTGACGTACAACCAGAGGAATAAGACATTGTCTAGATACGCTACTATTGGGGAACATCTATCCAAAACCCACTCAGACATGATGAAACAAGAAACGGCGCCAAAAAGGAGGCAACAGGGGGTTTCCACGGGACTATAACAATGGATAACAACTCTTGTTGGAAACTAGCGCGCGGAAAGGGAATATCGATGCAACATGCAGAGAAAAAAGAGGCTAACCCCTAAAAGGCAAGAACATGGGAAGGTGGAACACTACCAAATACGAAAAAAGAACATGGTCAGAAAAATAACTACGACAACCAGTGGGTGCCGAGCGGGTGACCGCTAGTTAGCTTCCCCATTTAAAATTGTGCTCTCATAACTCTACCACCCGACATCTTGAGAGTATTGCACGAGCCATCTTCCTTTAGTCCGTTGGCGATATATCGTACTCTGAGGCGACCACCCATCTGGTACCACTATATTTGCTCGGATACGCTACCATGAGATAGACAACCCATCTAGCACCACTTTATTTACCATGATAGGTCACAACAAGAATGACAACCCATTAGGTACCATTAATTGTTTTTGTCGGGGTGAGAAGTAACCCGTCCAAACACGTTAGAAGAAGAAGAATGCACAAAAACTCTAGTAGAAAAGTAGCATCCAGAAAGGGGCTAGTGACATAACATGCGAAAAATAGCGCATGAAGGAGAATTGTTGCTAAATTTAGATAAGAACCTCATCTAAAAGCAAACAGGTCATGAGATCGGCGATGGCGTTGGAATAAGGTCTCTCTGGACTCTACAATATCTAATCCCTATGGCGACAAAGGGCATGTGAGGGGAGATGTCACCAGAGCTGTAGGCTTTCTACGAATCTTGGCGGTTGGTGTGAATCAAGGAAAGAATGTGGCTAGTGATGTCTACTATGTATGCAACTTTATTCTTGTAGACTTTTTTGGCGGAGTTTTGTAAGACAGCAGCAATTTTCCCTCAAGTGAATGACCTAAGCTTTATCAATACATGAGAGATATAGGATGAAGATGGTTCTATCTCAAACAATCATGCAATCAAATGCAATGAGTCTCTTGTGTCCCCAACACATCCAATACAATTATCAGTTGTATATGCGCACTAGTTCGGCAAAAAGGTGATGATAGATGTGTATGGACCGTAGAAATAGGTTTTTGAAATCTAAACTAATAAAAACAGCAAGATAACAAGTAGAAAAAGCAAGCAAAACG